GCTGCGCGGTTAATTATATTTATATTTGCCATGTTTACTATGATCTAAATATATGTACATGTACAATGTAAGTAAAACTCTACTGCACTTCAATAAACAGGGCTAGCAAAAGACTTTAATTCCAGCTCACCCTTTGGATAAGCAGCTCCCAAATTTTGCTTGCCCTGGTCAAGTCTAAGTTAATTTTTTTTTATTTAGTTTGCAGACAACTTGCCTGTGCCCTTGCCCATCAGGAAAGTGAGAATGAAAAGTTACTTGTCTGGCAGGAAAATCTACTTGTTCCAGATGACCAGACTGCATTGTTTTTGAGCCCTATTCATTGAATGTTAATTCTAGGAAAACCTGAAGCTTTCCACTGAATATTGTCAGGGTTTCATTAAGGAAGTGAAATAGAGAGAATGTTGTACATGAAAGGACTGTGAATACTTTAAACTTACTCGCTCAACAGCCATGAGCTCAAGAGTTCTCCATCGCTCTCATCCAAAAGCAATTTGCATTCCTCCACAGCATTGGTAAAAGCTCCTTCCTGAAATATAATAATTAATAAATAAATTATCTTTAAAAACACAACAACGCTTTTCAGTTTTCGGAACATGTTTTGATGTTTCAACCATCATCATCAGCCATTATGAATGTACAGAAAAGATTTACAAAATGATCGGTGTATATAAAGTGTATAACTACTGTACTCATATACAATGAACCTTTATGAATTAAAATATTTGTTACCTGTTAAACTTATTTAAATTAACCAATAGAATGAAACACAAACAAGAAAAAATAATCTAAAACTCCCTGTAAACAACAGTAGATAAATTTAGAAATGCAACGACAGATTAACATGCTCAACTTGTTTGTTGAGTTCAGGTTTCAACTGTTCAATATGAAAACTCTCTTTTATTTTAAGTTGAGAATAAGTGCTGGCATGATCGAGAATCTTAAAACAAGAAATATCACACTTATCCCTACAACCTTTAGAAGCACCAAGATGTTTAAAAATGTGGGAATTTTTGTCCTGAAAGAGATGCTCATTAACACGTGTGTTAAAATGCCTATTGGTTTCACCAATATCACGAGCTCCACAGCTTGCACATGTAAACTGATAAACAACACATGACTTAAGAGAATCAGGAACAAAATCTTTAGGACTAAACATAGTGCTATCATTTTGTAAATCTTTTCTATACATTCATAATGGCTGATGATGATGTTTGAAACATCGAAACATGTTCCGAAAACTGAAAAGCGTTGTTGTGTTTTTAGAGATAATTGTTGCATTTGTGCTATCAAGACCGTTTGGTAAAGAAATTATTTTTTCAAAATTATGATTTTATTTTTTATATTTTTCACGTAAGAAACAATAAATCGGGTTCTTGTGAGTTTGAACTAAAGTTCTTCCAGGATGAGAGCAGGATGCCTATAGAAAACAGCGGTACCCCTTAATATATTTTCACAGTTATAAAAACAGCCTCCACTTTAGCTGTCATCTGGGTGTTCTTCTAATAATTTAGTGGAGAGAACAAACTGATGATTATAGTATATATAGTGGAGACAACTGTTTGCAATCTGGTGATATATAAAGCATGTTTTTCATATCACTGACATGTGAAGAATATCATAAAAATAATAATACATACATACATACATACATACATACATACAAACAAACCGTTCACGACAGGTGTAATATTAAAATGTACGTCAATAAATTAAATTTTCACCATGTGTATAGAAAAGCTGTCGGACTTATCACTTAAAGAGATAAAAGAAATACTTAGCACCTACCAAAATTCATTTTAAATGCATTGTGAGAAACGACGTACTTTTTTCTCGTGTAAAACGATAAAATCTTCGGTAAGAATGGTTAAAGTTCCAAAGTACACGTTTATAAATTCCATGCTTTGCGCAAAACGCAAAACAAATTCTTTAGCAACCAGTTGTTCTTTCTTGTTTCATTCGACTTTTTTTCCCTTGTACTTAGCACAAAAAGGTTACGATACATTGTAAACCTCTTAATTGGTTGATGAACCAAATCTAGAACGAGCGTACTGTCAACCGATCTGATACGTTCACAAAGGTTTTAGCATTGCAATTAGCTAAAAGTCGCACTTGAAGTCTTGACACGACTCCTTGCTCTTTTCGTGACAGTTGAACTCGAAAAACAACACTGCAAAATTCCAAAATTTCACTTAGAGATGACAAATTTAGTGAAATCAACGTAAACTTAGCTCAAACGTAAGCTTAAGTTTATGTATAATGTTTACTAAAGACAACCTTGATTTTATTTGATTAGAAGCAGTATTGTAAGTTAGCGTGATGTAAAGCAGATGAAATTTGAGTTACCGATATTTCCTTTGTCTTTACTCACTGATGTCAACGGCCACAACGGCGTTTCAAATCCATGAAAATTTGCTGCTCGATGCCCGGTCTAGCTCTGTGCTTAATGGGTTTAGGGAAGATGGTGGTCGCACGCGAACAAACGGCGAGATCAGTACGCCAATCAGTATGCTTTTTCGCCAGGCGATAACACGTTGTAATGCATTATTTATAACATCAGCCACGGATGAACAATATTTGCATAACTTGACATGGTGAAGTCCATATCTCTTCATTTTTTCCGCCATGTTTTTTTTTTCTTGCAAAGGTAACCTGGCCTTTATAAGAGGACCAAGAAGGGTGGAGAGAGTGTGGGGTTTTGTACGAAAAGTGCTCTCGAGTTTGTAGTAGAAAAAATAGTATTATAAACAATCCATATTTTATAAGGCTTCACTGGGAGATAAGTCCGTGGTATCAGAGGTCTCCTATGCCCACTGGAATTACTGTACAAGTTTAATGGGGCTTCACCTTCGCCAATTCTCTGACTGCACGCGGTGGGAGAGCGCAGGAACTGACATAAGGTATAATACCTGAACACTTTTCCGGGGTGGGGGCGGGAAGCGGAAAATTGGACGGGAGTTATAATCCCACCTAAAATCGAAAACGAAAATAAAATGATCGTAACTTCTCGTAAAAACATGCAATGACACCAGGCGTTGGAAAACGATCCCCATCTTCCGTATTCCAACAATATTTTAACGTTTTGTTCCATTTCTGCAAAGTTAGCTAACATTGCACCCCTTTCAGTCATTTCTTGTCTTCTGGTATTCATATTTCTATCCTAGACATGACAATCCGATTATTTCTCTTTTTTACCACTTCCCTGACAAATAAAATATTCTCACTGTACATGATGTTCCATAAAAGGATCGCATAAAACCAATACGGTAACACACCATGATTGAGACGGAAATCTTTACTCAAGTTATGACCAGTCATGAGCAGTCTTGTAAACTGCTAAAACAGGGGCGGAGTTAGGGGGCGGGGGGAAGTAGATTGGTTGACTAGCCACCCCTTTCAAAGAAGCAAAAAATAAAAACTTGAAATAAATTTTGAATATTATAGTAGAAAAGAAGGGAACAACTCCGGTCAGTTACCTCAATGTTTATTTCTACTTTTGTGGCGTTGCTAGTATTTCTGACGTAACAGTTTTAAATTAGGTCATTAGGTTCCAATTTTCAAACTGAAACATTTTTGGGGTATCCCCCATTAATTCTGATCTACAACCCAAAGGTACCATCCACCTCTCCCCCCTTGAAAAATCCTGGATCCACCCCTGTAAAGAGTTAGTCTTTCATAGTTTCAGTTTTTGCGACAATCCTCATAGAAATTTAAGCCGGATGGAAGAAAAATATGGGATCATGTCAACGTTTCCTTCGGTACAGTGATTTTAACTGCAACCCAACATTTCCGAGTATGTCTATAAAACTTCGGTTGTTGATACAAAAAGGCAGATTATAGCAATAGACAGGAGTGAAGGCGTCGAACGCACTCACATAATCTTTGACTACTACTTAGTAGTCGTACGTATTAGGCACAACCCGATAACGGACAAAGAAATCCTGCCGTCCGGTTTGTAGTTTACAGGTACAGACGCGTTTTCGGATGAGTAATATTTTATTTCCTTTACTTCTGCAATGGTGACAGGGAGCTGAAATTATTTTTCTCAACTCTTTCAGGCCTGACATTCTTCATTCTTTTGCACGCTGAAGACCCCGTGCACACTACGCCGGAGGAATTTGAAGACGGAGCTTTATTTCCACGGTTAGGCCTACCGTTCAGACTAATCCTTCACGAAAACGGAGCTTTTCGAAAGCGCTCTTCAAACCGAAGAAATTTGAAAACGCCGGTGTGGACTGACTCAGTAAACATTTTGAAAACAGAGCTTTTCGATAACGATAACGTCAACATAGTCGAGATATTCCCCTGTCCGAGTTTTACTCGCTCAAACACGAATCTAAAAGGACCGGTGATCGTTGCGTTTTCATATTTTTCCGGCGTAGTGTGGAAGGAAAACATTTGATGTGTTTTCAAAGTGAAACCTCCGTTTTCAAATTCCTCCGGCGCATTCTGGACGAGGCCCAAATATTTCGTACACTAATGCACTCATTAAATATATGCAATATCTATAGGGTAGAAAATAAGGCAAGCGGAACAAAACACGACAATTGAACGAAAAATTTGTCCATGGTTCGACAGTGAAACACACGGCAGAGTGCACACAGTAAGGGCCCTGACACACGGAAGCACATTAGCAATGAGCAACTAAATTAAACCGTGCTTGAAAATTTCTCGCACGAAATTGCGCTTACCATGTTCTACGATTTTAGTGAGAATCCACTATCTACAACATTCGCGCAACAGTTAGACGCAACCTTCGTCCAACTGGAAGAAAATCGCTTTTCTAATGCATATAGATGTATACACTGTTTTATAATTATTGGCGACGTTAGAGGAATGGAGCGGTTTTCAATTGAGAGCCGAAAGTAGTGAGGCAATTACTTTGGTTTTGGTTTTACTACGGTTTGAGATAACTGAGTAGTCTAATTAACGAGCAAGTGGTTTGGTTTTGGTTTTACGACACTCAATTGAAAACCGCTCTAATCTGAAACGATTAATTAAAGTGGTATACCGTTTTCTCCTCTAACAGCAGAACTCTAGCAGTTGCGGCGTTCTACTTCTTGGCCACCATCGCAATTTTTATTTTGGATTTTGACCATCAGCGCTAGATAGCGCCTTAGCGATGCTGTGCTTCATACATGAAGTATTGCGTGCAATGTCGTCCCGTTCCGTGTGTCTGGTCCTTAATTTTTCATAACATAACTAGCCCTCGGGTATAATAATAAGTTTCTCAGTGTAAGGAAACAAAGGAATGGAAGCTAGGGAGTTCTTGTGAAGAGAAATGACGTCGTTGACTAAGGGCGGTGAAGAGTGAAACGAAGGCCGTGGGATGGTTGCATGTGATCTACAGCTTGGATTTAGTGGGCTGACTGTGGTATGGCGGTACAAGAGGAAATAGTGGAAGGCTACTCTTGAATGCAGCGATATCGTCAATAATCGTTGGCTGCAAAGAGGACAGAAGCATAACATGAGAAAAAGTAAATCACGCCTTACCTTACTGATATATTTTTCAGACCTTATTTTTAATTGCCACTAATTGGCCAATCTAAACCAAGTCTGTGAGGCTGGGATATCGCCGTAACCACAGGCCGACAAAACGCTCGTGAGACCGCTCTCCTTCGCAAAGGTTCTGGCGACGGTATTTTACGCCTGCACTTAACTAGCTCAGCGGATTCTTCCCACAAGAAAAACCCCATTCTCGTCTCCAGTGCTACTCGTTTTAAAATGTCGTTTCGCCGATCAAGTGATCAAAAGAAAAGGAGGCTCTGGAGACCAGAGTGGAAAAATCTTTTTGAACCTCTGCAGAGGAAAGAGCGCAAGCTCGTTCTTTTTTTTTTGATGTTGTTGACTGTGAAATTTAGAAAAACCAAAAGCTGGCTAAACTTTTAAAACCTCTCAGCTAGAGTCAATTCGCTGAAGAATGAAAAGCTAATTTTCAAGAGGCCCACAAAGTAATTATCACTTCCATAAGTTAGGCATCAACACTGAAGACCACAGAGACGACTCAAATAAGCATAAATTTACCAAGGATGGAAGATTAGCATCTTCAGTTTTCTCAGCATTTTCAATGACATCATTCAAGGCCTTGTTACACGAGTTCTTGGTCACTGCAAGACACATAAAAATTAGACAAGAAATTCTAAACCTTGTGTCCCAGCTAGCAAGCTGCGTATTGTGGAAAATAGGGTCACAGAGCGTGCAAATTACTGACCAGCAAAAGTTTGCACGCAATACGAAAAAGACCGTAGCTTTCGAAGTTTACTCTAAGAAAAATAACTAGATATAAGTCCATTTTTGAAATTCGGTAAAGCTCTTAAGATCACTTGTTAACCTTCAGTAAATTAAAATATCAGGAGAAAGTTTGAAAGCACAAAAAGCGGTACTTACTGGTTTTTGACAAAATATGAACAGCCAGCTTGTGTCTTCTGGGTGCATTAGCTGCGAGAAGATCCTTTCAGGAAAACAAAAAACAATTTAACAGGTTAAATCGGTAAAAGTAACCACCATAGCTGGTTTCAGGGGTTGACCTTCCAAGTGTTGGCCCCTGGTAGATGAAGTGCCACAACAAAAACCCACAGTACGGAGACTTTATTCAGTTGTAAAACCGATCAGAATTCTTACCCGGTAAAATGACAGAACATCTTCTTTCGTGACCGTCGTTAAATACGCCACCTCGATATTATCTGAAGGAAGAAGGTACAGACGTAGGTAAGACACTTTTCAAATCAGATAACTTTCATCCTGCTGTCAAAAAATTCACCATAAATTATAACGAGTCCTTAAAGCACATTTAGTCATAAATCATTTTCACTGTCCTCACCCCTATCAAAGTTGTACTGCCGCGAGAGAATTTCTTTCCAGTGTTTCATACATTCCGAAGACAGTTTCTTGGGTTTGTCGAGCCTTTTGACCGTAAGTGCCTCGACGTGATTCTTATACTCTTCATCTGACATTTCTGTAATGTACTCCTAATTAAAAAAAATACACATTATTATTCCCCATATGACTGGAAAAATTTAAACAACTGGGTCTAACCTAGTATTACCGTCCACTTCGAATCTAGGTTTGAAAGTTGCCAAAAACGAACGATATGATCTATTGCTTAATGTTCTTTGTTTTTACTTTGCGCTAAACTCAAACAGTAGCTGGATCTATGTTGATACCAACAAACCTCAATTCCTTGGATGAAATTTTCAACACGTGAATCTAGCAAAGATGGCTCCTTTTCAGACTGGATCAAGACCCGAAGACCCTGAAGAAAGGAGAAAAATGTCAACATTATTAGTCGAATAACTTAGGCTAAAACTACCCTACAATAAAACATTCAATGGAAAAGGTCACAAAAATTACTTTACAGAGTTCTTTTTTAAGTAAAAACTAAAACCAAAATAACCTGAGGGAACACACTCGAGCGGAAAATAGCCCAAATCAAGAGCTCCAATTTGCCACTGGTTGCCATTCTGGGAAAAGCTACGACTGGTTCTCATTGAAATCATTAGTTAGAGCTGGCTGCCGATTATTGAGTTTGTTAACACAAAGGTAATACTGAAATTAGTTCACCACAACAATCATAACAACCTGGGCACCATTGCATCTCCTTGCTCCACTAAAAACAATGTACCCTAAAAGACAGAGAGCAAAGAGTGTTAATACATCATTTGCATTATGCCGTACGCCGGGAAAGGCCAATCCGCATATGCCACAAAAAAAGAGCCGAAAAATGATTCGCTCTCTACTTTGCTTAAAAGAAATTTCGGACGTTTAATAAATTACGGACGTTTTGTATCTCATTTGGGACAGAAATCTCGGACACCGCTAAAACCTAGTTAATGTAAATTTAAGGTTACAAAACACTGAAACAACATCTGTGAAAAAGATAGTTTCACTGCACCTTCGAAGTTTTACATGCCGTTACGTATCTAAAGCGGTGTCTCAACTAGACTTGTCGGACGTTTAAAAACTTCGGACGGTTTTATTTTCGGACACTTTTTTTGTCCGAAATTAAAATCGTCCGAAAGTTTGTGCAAGTAATTACATACCTAACTGCTCCTGAGTCCTAAGAGTGTTAAAACAAGGCTCACAAATGATTTGGCAAAACAATTCCAGAAGGATGTTACTTTTGGTGGATTGTAGGTCACACTAGAAAAGAAAAGAAATCTTTTCAGTCCGGCAACGTTCAATGTAGCAATGCAACATTAAGGGTTTGTCACGGGTCACAAGTTTGTCACACTGCACACAGCTACCAGCCTACATGTACATACCTGATAATAAATCTCCAAGCTTGAATTATTGTGAACTTCATTTTGCACCTCAAATAGATACGAACAACCTAAAAAGAAGTGACAAATTGCCTTACAAGCGTATAGCAATCTTCATATTCAGTCCAGGTCTCACAAGAGCAGCTACTTCACATTGACTCGTAATCGTGCACACTATATTGGGCAGACTGGCTTATCACTTGCTCAAGAACCAGAAATCAGTTTAGCTGTATTCCTATCTCGTCAGTGACATAAATTTAGCAAATTAACAACAAAACTAGACGAAGATTTAACCTAAACTTGACACTCGTTTAGACGGACAACTCCCTAAAGGTCGACATCCCACACATTTGAAGCGGCTATTGCCGGAGAATGCAACAAAGACTTTAAAGTGGTTTTCGGTATAGATCGCTTGTGACCAATGTAATCTAAGAAATTGGCTTATAGACATGGAAGAGACATCTTCAGAGTACTGTTCTCGCGACGTCTAATCTCACCACTTGGTAACTGTAACTCTCTGTGTCGAATTAACTGAAGTGGTAGCAAAGGTTTTGTTTTGCTGTCTTCTTTAATAATTTTCTCCACGAGATCTGCAGTGACAACAGCTTCCTACAACAGAGCAAAACAACACAAGAAGAGAGCTTGATGAGCGAGATCTTATATTGATCCTTACAGATCACATTTATAGTTATCACTTCTAGTTTTGTCCTCCAAACAACAGCACTATGTCAGGTATAAAGCCATGAGAATAGAAATATTGATCACTTAAGTGAAACTTGCTTATTTCTGATTTTCCTAACTGTAATATAGCACAATGGGCATAGAAAAAGACTGTACGGATACTAGGTCCGCAATGCGTACACAAATCAATACGTTATTTGCACGAAGAGCCAGTTACACTTTGCCAAATCGTCCACATACATGTAACTTGTTATTTGAGTCCACTTCTGACTTCATAAAAGTTAAAGGTAAGAGAGTGGTGTTAAAGGTAGCTTGCCAAATTTGTTGAAAGTTGGCAAAAGGGTTCAATGACTTGGAGAAAAGTTTTAGCAATGAATAGAATCACTTTCTATTAGGAAATTCGTTATTCAAATCACGAGAGAAAGATGAGGAAGTGTTTTGATCCCGTTGATAATCGCCTTTCTAACTGGACTTAATTTAAGACAATTGAATGAAATACTGAAATATTCCCAACTCACCTCTTTGGTCAAGTTTCCATGAAACAAACACTCGATATGAAGTCTCCCTAACAAATCAGGGATGAAAGCCACTAGCTTCTCCAGGGTTACCTCTATGAGACAAACAACATGTCTACATCAGTTGACAAGTTCGAGTTTACGCTGACTTTGCTTAGCAACGTTCAACAAAGCCCTCTCTTTTTCGGAAACTAGTTTAAGGCGATTCCATATAGCGTTTCCTATTCAGATTTCACTTGTTCTGACCCATTAGACAAAGTGTGCTTTACTGTAATTTATCCCACACTTAGCTAACCTGTGTCGCAGAGAGTAAACCGCCGGGGATTTTGTGGCACGTTCGGCTGCAACGCAGGCTAACGCTTAGCGTACCACTCACTCATTAGAAGAGACTGTCGAAAAAATTGTCCCAAGAAAAAGCAAGGAGTCGACCAAACCATTCTGCAACCTTATGCTCATTTAAGTTTCCACTACACCCTTCTCCACAGTACCTGTAGCCTTTTTGTTTTGCCCTTGCTCTCATAGCAGAAGAAACGGAAATTGGAAACAAGTTTACGTTTACTGCCATACACACCTTCTAATGCTTCTAAAAGTTCGTCCTTGTGCCAGGCGAGTTCTTCCAACAGAAATGACATGTAGTACAAAGCGTGCTGATGAGGCGGCTCAGCAACAAAGTTCTTCAGGGCTATGCCGCACTAAACCGTGAAAAAGAACAACGAAGAGAATGACACTGATAATACGGCAGAACATGTCATGTGCGTGTCTGAATGTAGTTCTAGTACTTTATTACTCCCAAGAGCAATGAATATCAATAAGAGCAAGAACAACCACGGTTAACTAGAAGAGCGATCTAACGTTTCGTTTTCTAAGAGTGACCGAATAGACGAAGATCCAATTTCTCCTTACATTGTCAATACAATGTCACACAAAAAGGTCATGAGAATTACGAAAATTATCAAGTAATGGATAATGTCTCGAAGTATCGACAAATTTATCTGACGACAATCATTCCGAAGACTTAACACTAGTAAATCAACGGTGTAGGCAGGGTTCATCACGGAAGATTTTTCTCACCCTTTCTTTGATGAGTGGAAATCTCTTTGGATCCACTTGAAAGTTTGCCATTCTATCAAAAATCTTCTTCAGTAAAACCGGCTGTTTGTGATTATACCCTTTGATGCTCAGCTGCAAAATAAGAATTTAGTTCAGCAGAGACGTTTCTGTTAACGTTATCAAGAAACGACTACCATTAACAGTTAAAAAAAAGTTAAATGTTTACACTTGTCAATGCGCTTAGCTACACCTAACTAGTTCTCAGGCCTGCTACTTAAACTGAAGGAAACAAATATTTCAAATACACATAACAAGCTTACAAATCTCAACTGGTGGGAGGCAGACCAGTTGGCTACATACAAGTATGACCGAGGAGTTGAACAAGGGTCTACCGAGAAACAACTCAAGCTTAGTGGTCAGAGCGGGAATTGAACCCGTAACCTCCGAATTTCAAGTCCCGCGGCCTAACCACTCCGCCACGCTGCTTCTACAGTACTAACAGTCCTCCCTAAAAGGGATGCTTATCCATCACAGATTGTCCCACTTCCTAAGCTTCTCAAACAGCATTATATCCAACAGCTTCGTGCGGCAAACTTAACAAGCAGTCACTTACATAAATGCCATACATGGTGTTCTCCAATTTGTAGTTGACTCCAGCTATCTCGGCTGCATAAGCGTACTCATTGAGCGAATCCTTGAGGAGTTCAACAAACAAGTGAGCCATGTTACAGTGAACTGGATCCACGTATGCCAGTGGACTGAAAAACAACACACAAAATTAATATATGATATGTGATCTTTCATAATATTCACTTTCACACAAACTTAAGTACAGCCTAAGTTTCAAACAGACATCTCTGTTTGAGATTGATACAGATGGAAATTAGGGGTGCCGAAATAAGAATTGGAACCGTGTCCAGCAAGAGAAAAACCTTCTCATTTTGATTCTGTAAATGGGTAGTGCCGTACCAAAATGATTTGCGCGCACTGACAAAATTTTGACACGCCGTGGCAATTTTTTTAGTGCGCATTAACGAAATTTCAGAAGTTACCATTTTCGACACAAATAGTTGACCAAAGATATAAGGCCTTTTAAGAAAAAGCAGTTATTGTGTACACATGTACATGTTAATGAAAAAAAATGTTATTCCTTTGTGAAAAACAAAAATTAATGCACATGTTACCTTGTAATTTCAAAAAGAAGACAAGCCTTGGGCAGGAGGAACGTGTCATCTTGTTTAAACCAAACTTTCAAAAGTGAGTCATCCTGTGAGATGATAACATAGGCATGTAAGGCGTGCACAGAAGTGAACTAGGGGAAATACAGCTCAAAGACAAACCTGTTATTTAATTAAGTTCCATATGCTGCACTTAGTTTGTAGACGATATAAAACAAAAGTATTATATAATAATCTTGCATACCTTTATAAGAGTGGGAATCGATGAAGACTACAAAGAGATAAGAAAAGTACTGGTTAACTGACTCATCTGTTAGAAACCATTTTAAATGGTCTAGCTTGCAAAAGATATTTTATTCCCTAAAGGGGCAAATTTTGACCATTTTTTGGAAATCATAAGAAAACTAATAAATCGACTGTTTGTAATCCCTTTTTCATACAAAGTCTAAAAAACAGCTGCTGCTTTTTTACTGTATAGCTCAAAAAGGGATGGCATTGATGGGGACTTCCAAGAATGAAATGCAATATACTCCATTGTACTTACATCGTGGGGTCTTTCTCTTATCGTAAAATCTGTAGGAATGAACTCGTTTTCCTCAGGAAGTTGCAAAGAGGGATTCAGTGGCACATTCTCCCATTCCTAAAACCAGAAAGGTAAATGAAATACCCATAGGTAACTTTGACCATTGACCAACAATCAATCAATCAATGAAATCAGTCAGTCAGTCAGTCAGTCTGTCTGTCTGTCTGTCAGTCAGTCAGTCAGTCAATGAAATGTATGACATGTATAGTTACCTCTATGTACTTTTGAAGGATTTTGTTCACAGAATATTCTGTTCCATACCACTCTTCTACAAGATCAGTTTTGCCTTCAAAAAGTTTTGCAATCAATGTTATTCTGCAGAAAGAACAAAACAACCAATATCAAGCAACATCTTATGCATTTCACATGCACACTAAAATCACCATATGAAATAGAAACAAAAAGTGGAGACACAAAGAAATGGAAACCTCTTACAGGATATATGAGGATTTAATCAATATTTTAGATTATATTTCTATACCTATCGGTATCTATCTCCTACCCATTAGTCTATTTCTAATCTCCTGTCAGATGCATAACTCATTGTACCTTTAATGTACCACATGCCTTTGGTCTGTTTTTTATGTTTCTATAGTACAACCTCAAGCTGTAATGGTAACTATCTATTTTCTTCTTTTTTTCTTTGCCAATTGTCGTCACTGTATTTGTTAGTAGTGTAAGTCGTTTAGATATTGTAATTTAAATAGTGTAAATAATTAGAGCAATATAATGTAAACAGAGCCAGTGTTGTAAGTAAGCATTTTTTTTCCCTTGTGTTACTGCAAATAATAATAAAAAATATCAAGCAACATGATACACAAATAAGCCATTAAATGACAATCTTTTCGTAAATTGCAATATCAAAGAACCAAAGAATTTTCTTGATACATGGCTTAAGAGTTGCTCTACATGTATGTTTCTACCAAATTTTCTCCAATCAGCATGCAAAAAAAAATTATGTTGGCAGATAGCTGGGGAAAGTGGATTTTGGAGTCTGTCAAACTAGTAGATTCTGTCCTTCACTTGCAGCATGCCTGATGGTAAAGTAAAGTTTTTAGGAGGATAAATTAAAAGTGGACATAATTCAAATATTACAGAGGTAATGCAAGAGATCAAATTATTGCAAGTTTCAATTTCAGTTTTTGATAAATTAATCATGACATTAGTTTGAAAATGTTTCTTAGGCTGGTGAAAAGGTCAAGCAGGAAAACTGATTTTCTTTGCACCCCGTCAGAATCCCTGTGGGTGGCTTTGGATTCTATAATTGTTGAACAGTCATCATGCCAAAATCTATGCTTGTCCAGTATTTGATTGTGGCAGGCACATTTTCCTTGACAGCATCTGTTCATGTACATGTATAAGAGTAAGTCTTCCATTATTTAACCACATATATGTTACCTTATACCGAGCAATTAAACATCTATCACACTACCACAGTATCTCACCTCACTTTTGATGGTACCAGATATGAGAGAATCATCTTAATCAAATCAGACTTAAAATGTGTCATTATAAATTGACCTTGAATGACATCTTCCACCCCAAACTCCTGCAGAGGCACAACAAAGCAATGTATAATATGATGATGTGCAATCATCACAGACAATCAAAAAGGTACCAATACTGTCAAACCTCTCTAATTTGGACACGAAAGGAACAGCCTGTATTCCACAAGAGGTGTCCATATTATAGAGGTAAAGAAATATTATATGATGTAAAAGTGAGCTTAAGGGCTTAAGAGGCCTTGACAAGTTTATAAATAAGTTGGGATATTCATTTGTTAAGAATAACTAGCATAATACTCACATGCAAACAGCGAGCTGTTGAACAAACATAGGATCTGGGATTCTCCTTGTCTTTAAATTGAAATCTGACTTCACTAAGAGCCTACAAGGAAAAGATTTTAGATAAAGATAAAGGCAAGTGCCCTTACTACTATACCAGCCTTCCGTCCTTAATATTCACATCCTCTGTGAAAGATGCACGTGAATTCCTCTCTTCCGTAGTCAGTTAGAAACTAATAATCACATAGTATGCTGAGCTGACAAATACATGTGCAACCGTTCATTCAGAATCACCCTGTTGTTTTCAAAACCAACAAGTTTGAAAAAGGCAACAACCAACATTGTTTGCCTTCAGTTTACACTATTAAGTGTATTTGGTTCCTTTGACAGGTTTAATCATCGGGGAATTATTTTGCAAAATAAGATTTTGTGGTGTGAAGATACTCGGCTAGAAGACATACCCAGAGTTTAGAACAGATTTAGATTGCACAGGAATAGTTTCTTTGAAAAAACGCTGCACCTTATACATGTAACCAAAAAAATATGGTAAGTAAATATAATTCACCTGGCACTCTTTAAATATCCACTCTTGGGGTTCTTGCCTTCTTAGCATTTCCAAGTATTGAAACACACAAGTCACTATTTCATAGACATGGTCTTGAAAAAATAAGAAAGACTGAATTAAATAAAAGTAGTCAATGGAACATGAAAATTATAACTTACAGCATTAGCCAATTTTCACACAAGTGCTAAAAAATTTAGAACAATTACCTAGACCTTCAGTGGTAAGTTCCATGTTGCAGATGAAGAACATAAACCCTTTAGCTCCGCCAGCTCCTCCCGCAACAAGTTCATTCACCCAGCCTGTTGTGACAAAGATTAACATTTGTGAAATAATATACTACAGGACCATACTAAAGGCAAGCATTAACTGCCCTAATCCAAGAGGGAGCTGCAGGGATGTATTGGCTAGTGTAAAGCAAGAGAAAGAGATCCCAGTTAAAAAGCAACTTTGATTAGCTCTTATTAAACAAGCAGGAGGTCTTTATGGGAGAATCTTGACCGAGGTTGTGAGCACAGACCAAACGCAGTGAGGTCTGTACACACAACCGAGGTCAAGATTCTCCCACACAGACCGACTAAGCCCAGTTAATAAGATGTTTATTAATATGGCAAACAAGAAAAATTTAATTCATTTAATGTCACTGGTTTGCACTAACTGACATTTTGCTTGTGAACGGGGATGAGCTGAATTTAATTCTCAGCCAAAGTTTGCTTGTCCTCTTTACTTTTTTTTCTCATCAGGCTTTTTGGCACTTCCATACATAAATATTGTTAGATGAAAATAGTCAATGATTTTGCATTTTAGTTTGCAACTTTTTTACTGCAAAACATTACTGGTCTAGATGCCAGTCTACATGGGAAAATCTAGACCGCTTTCAATATCCATTTCAGCCAATCAAATTCGTGAATTTGGTAGTTTCCAGTTCTTGTGAGACAGAGTGATATAATATCATCCCATTCATGTGGGACTAGCAGTACTACCAAGGTTACTTTATGAGCACTACAGACGCAAGTCAGTGGGACAGTGTTGGCCACCTGGCTTGTGTGTCAGACAGCTGTACCTAATCTTGACCCAGCACTTGAAACTATTAACCCACACAACAACAGTCTGTATCTGCTTTGTAGTCGCATTTTTAGATATATCATAATGGAAGCCTCTGAAAGTAGACTCCACAACAGCAAAAAACTGGGAAATAACTCTTGTATTTCTTTGGTGAAACAATGATTAATTAATTTATACGGGTGTCAATTAGCCCACATAAATTTTCACCAATGACAATTTAATGTACTCAGTTTTGTATTTAGCTTACTACATGTACTTATGGTTTGAGATTCTCACCTCTTGTTTTGAGTTCTGACAGTAAACTTCCTTTACCCTCATGGCCAAGAAGGTGAGATATATAATGACACGGCTGCAAGTTAAAACAATATGATTGTCAGTACGTATATGGTGATAAAAGAACTGGAGAGCATTGGGACGACCTAGGGTGAGGCTGAAATGATTTCCAACAACAGAGCCTGATGGAGAGCTATGGTGGAAGCCCTATGCCTCATGAGGGGCAAAGCTAACTAAAGTTAATTAGAAATAATTAGCATTATAAATTTATACCACAACCAATGAAGATAAACACTGACTCCAACAGTGAACTAGTTATGGCAGAATAGACATTATCTTAATGATTGTTATATACAACACAGCTTTTATAGTCTTAGGGACATATGTTTGGGTTTACTTCAACTTTATGACGGTGCAGTTTATGCATCTCTGTCTTGGACAAGCTCAGAACTATACATATTATATTTTTATACCTTTCTTGTTATGCTTACCTTACTATCATAGTGTGGGTTAACATCAGGAATGGGGAATGAAATGTTTAGGTGTTTTATATCTTTGATTGGCACTACTTTAAATTCTACCTTCAGAAGCAAAATAAGATATCTCCAAATTAGATTTTAAAATTGACATTAAATACATAAGCAAATAATAAATAAATAATGCTGCAAACAGATAAGATGATGGGGAGTGATGAGGAAGAGAATTATGGTATGATGACCCCAATCATTATTTTTTGTTTCATTTGTCAAATAAAGCACCATGGGTGCTTTTCCAAAAGTCAGGTTTGAATTTCCAGAAATTTCTAGTGATGAATGACATTTTCCAAAATTTTCAAGAAAAGAAGACAACCTTGCCAGGTAGGACTATACCCAAATTTTTGGCAGTTTCTTACCAGGAATTTTCACTCTATTTAATTTTCCTCCCAGAATTTCCAGAATTTTTAGTTGTATGGTTCGCTTTTTAGAAATTTCCACAATTTTTGTATTGTCTAGAAACTTTTCCACGACATAATTTCTGTACCATTTGTGCTTGATAAGAAATTTTCAGAATTTTTGGTGGAATGGAAAGCACCCCAAATCTAATTTACCTACAGAGATAGAATCACACAAACAGTCAAAGTAAAGTAACACATCCTTTTACTCCTGGTTTCTTTCTCACCTGCAAATGTTCATCACTATAAGGGTGGTCAGGAAACTCAGGAATGGTAACATTTTTATCCAAGGCATCTGAAAACAGCTTTATAACCAGGTTGGTCAAGTCATCAAGTGATTCTAAAAAAAATGTGCACAGTTAATATAGTTATAGAGTGTTTTTTTTCTTTTGACACATTGTACTGACAAATCATGTATTTCATTTATTGACATATTCCTGGTAGAATGTGTGTCACATGTATTGCTGTAGCTAGGCAACCATTTAAACTAACTCTCACCAAAGTTTCTCTAAATTTCTAGCACACTGTTTTATATTCAGTAGTTATTTAATAGACTTTACTTACTATTACATCCATTGTATTACATAAATTTATTTAATAAATATTCTTTTCAAGTACACCATACTATACCTCTGCCTAGAACAGCCAGTGCCATGATATTGGCAGAGTAAGATGAACTGTGAAATTTGAGTAGTTCATCACGAACACTGAGGCCTTTCTCCTTTGGTCTGGTATCAAGAGTAAGCTTGTTACCTACACATAGGACCATCCATAAAACATGTGTGAGACAAATATTCTGACAGAAAAAGCAATTATAGTTAACATAGGCATTGAAAATACATAATGACCAAAATGGTGGATAAATAGCTTGGGAAAATGCCTCATTTTCACCTCTTATACAGCATAAATCCCACTAAAACTATACTGTCACCAACAAAACATCTAAATCACACATAAAAATTGCAAGGGAATGGCTGAAAATTATTGTAAATGAGAACATACACCCTTGGGGATTATGACTTCAATTTGTCCGAAGAAAAAAGATTAATTAATGCATTTTCATGAAATTCATTTTCACTAGTATGCAAGACCTCGTAGTGTAAAAAATGCATAGTTTACCTGAACCAAATTTACTGTAGGGATGAGATGGATTAACTGAAGATTTGTCCAACTGATTCAGCCTCCAAGAATCAGACAAGACATTCTTATGGTGTTCTAAACAAAACAAAATAGAATGATTACAGCACAGCAACGTGTCACATGTATCATAATTATCATGGGAAGCCCACTGGCCTAAAGATAACTGCGCTGTACTCTTGGATCATACAGTCCAGGTTTTAGCCGTTGAAGAGGTTAAGTACTGTGTTATGTTCTTGGGCAAAACACTTTTCATAATTATGAGCAGAGTAATTACTACTCTCATAGTTCCTCTTTCCCCCCAGATACCAATAAGTTCAACACTATTTAGAGGGTAACCCTGTGATGGACTGGCATCTCATCCAGGGGGAGTGCCAAGGCTGTCATTAAATTTTGATTCAACTGTAGACTTAACCTTTACACCCGTAACAAACTTGGTACTTTTTGGGTGAATTGTATCAACTACAGGCAAGTTCACCCATAACATCAAGGGCTCATCAAACTTACTCAGTCGTAGAAGCTGTTATGGGTTAATGGTCCTGATTGACAGCCCTGTTTACATGTCTAGAAATAATTCTTGTCACCTCATATGCCATAGAAACCGCAGATACTGGAGAAAAGCACCAGCATGATGGGCTGGCCTAGACGCAAAACAAAGACTTGTCCTTGATCAACCTGATATCATTGTCAAATCTTACCATTTGTATCAGAGGGAAGGCATTTTTAGATCAGTTACACTGTACAACTGGCTCAAAATCTTGAATGTCAGTTTTTTAAATTGAAATTAAAGTTAATTAATGCATCATAGTAATCCCTGCTATAATGTATTATTTGTAAGAAAAAATAATTTAAAGATTTAATTAATTACACCCAGAACAATATTTTGTATCATGATCATCATCATTAGGTTAATTTATTCACCTGATTCAACAGCATTAACCTCTCTGTCTGTTGCATCTGAATTAAACAATGGGCAAAGGAAGAACTGTGCAAACCTAAAATTTCAATCATTGAATAAGAAACTTAAAGATCAATTCTCAATTATTTTTATTTAATTTTTGACAAATTACATTGTAAATTACCTATCCAATGCTTCATGTAAACACTCATGTTTGACATCAAAGTAAAAGTTTGTATGTTCTCCACCAGTGAAAGCATTAGATGATCCACCATTCTCACTTAAAAACTGTAAGGAACAATTTGCTAACCATTAAATAACACAAAAAACTATAATTTTGGAGAAGCGTTAAATTAAGTCATAAAAGGGGACATTTTTTTTTTCTTCTTCTTCTTCTTTTTGTCTGAATCAGCAAAATTTTGAAAGAGCAAGTTTAAATTGGCTGGAAATTAATGTTGGGATACATGTTGTTTTAAAGAAGAAAAATTTGACGTTAAGACACTCATTGCAAAACAATTCAAAATCAGTCAAACCATGGAAAGTCCAGAGTGTAACCTATGCACAAGTTTGTAAGATTGGGCAAAACAACATTTAAAGAGTATCTGTGCATGATTTATGGCCTGGTTTAATTTTGTATGCAATACTTCAGCCGGTCACTCTCTAAAAATTGTGATTATAAATAATTCATTGTCAGATTGATTCTGAGCCTACACTGTTTGTAGATGGCAGATTTGAACTAAATGCAAAACTGATGTCATCATCAATCTTGATAGTCAATATTACAAAAATCTGGCTTCTGTCCCTCTATATATGTACATGTAGTCAGCAAATTTAACTTTGACACCTTTTCTCTGCCAAATATTTCTAACACCTTGAACTAAATCTAACTAAAGATGCATGTGAGTTGACAACATAAGGCTAAAAATAATATTAATCAAAAGTAGCCCAGAAATCAAAAACAAGAACCAATTTACACAATAATCCCCCTCACTCATGAATTTGATAATATTTTCAGTTGAGATATATCTATCAAAATTGAATCGAGCTCCTACCTGAGTGAATGAATTCTCTGATGGATACTACACATAAAAAACAAAGAATTAGGAATTAAATATAATAACAAAACTGCAAATACATTATCCAGTTACAAGAGAAGATGAGGAGTAATCCCCCATTTATGCCTTATTCCCAAGGTGACCCCTCTCAAGTTATTTTTAGAACACTCTAGGTTCCAGCAATCCCAGTGGTAGCCAATGCTGTGATGTGAATTTTGCTCACATGGACAGTTAAAGCAGCTTTACAAGTATTTCCATTTTCCTGGAAAACATCCAAGCTACATGCGTTATTGTAGTGAACGTTCAACACACTACTTGGCTTTAATCGATAAGATGAAATGTGCAATTTAACAAGTGCAAAGAAAGCAATGAAAAGGGAGCGGTTGCTACAAACAAAATAAATTACAAGTTATAGACGAATACAATAAAAGAAACAGAAAAA